TGTTGGGCGTGACCGCAACACCAGGAGACTGGAAGGGCAGGAAGTGAGCTCATCAAATCTGCTCTTCCCGGAACGACACCTGTAAGCTTTTGTTCCTTACAGTGTCTTCTTTTCAGTGTACCGTGGTATTACTTCTTGCGCCCCGGTTCGTCTCCCCCTCACAGGATACAGTTTTCGAGTCTTATTACATCCTCTTTCGCTAGGATTCTGTTCCATTCTCGAGCAGGCTCAATGATCGACTCTACTCGTACAGATGATATCAGTTTAACGGGCCCTCGAGCCTCTCTTCTTGAGACTTCAGGATCAGCATTCATTGCCCCTCCGATTCCTCACAGAAAACAAGACACCTGGATGCACACCATCATAGAGAAGAGGAGACGCCTAGATAGTGCACAGGCTACAAAGAAAGACAGGGCAAAATGAGGTGCATGGAGCGACAGGGTGAGGAAAATGAGGTTTGGTTCGTCAGAAGAGTGTGGGAGGGAAGCCGTACACATGTGCTACTTATGCAATTCGGATGTAGTAACACTGCGGCTGTGCATCCATTGGGAATATTTCACACGTTGGGGATATTGACCCGCAACTATTGGAACTTAGCTGGATATGAGATGATGTCTGGGGTTTGGAGGTCGAAACTGGAGACAGGGAAGAGGCTTATGGCGGAGGAGGGTTGCGCGTGTGTTTTTATGTTCAGCGCGGGACTTAAGGCCGAGGAGAAGTTAGCAGATTCTTGAACGCGACACCTCGAACACCATCTGAACAAAGAACGCCACAACTCCATGGCCTTCATAACCCGGGCTCAAAAATGAGTACATATTGCGCCACTGTGCCGACCCAAATTTTAGAAGTTTCCTGATTCGTCTGTGCCTCAATGCTGACCGTGCAAATCGCCGAGGGATTAAAAACTCCACGTACTTGCACGAGAGCAATTTCTCATTACGGGAGACGTGACATGGCGTGGCCTGTTGCATTTCTGTCTGCCTGCTGTGATGATTCAGTTCCAGAATTACAATGCTAGAAAGTCGAAATTTAGGGACATTATTTTCGTTTGTGAGCCCAAAAATATGATCAACTTTCACGTTCCCCAAATACCTTGAATACCTTGAACAGCTGTTGTTTCATCGATCTCTGATGTCACGCCATCAATGCAGTTGGCAACTTCTCCATTTCGATCGATCCTAAGCCTGACGAGACCAGGTGGCGCCATAAAGGCGCACGATTGGATCTCGCCATCGTGCTGGCGGCCT